GAGAGAGAGAGTGTGTGTGTGTGTGTGTGTGTGTGTGTGTGTGTGTGTGTGTGTGTGTGTGTGTGTGTGTGATTGAGTGAGTGAGTATGTGAGTGAGCGTGTGTGAGAGAGAGAGAGAGAGAGAGAGAGAGAGAGAGAGAGAGTGTGTGTGTGTGTGTGTGTGTGTGTGTGTGTGTGTAGTGAAGCAGGCTGAGATCTGATTAGTTCTCCTCTGTGGTTACTGGACTCTCATTAGCCCATAATTACAGTGAAGGTAATAACAGCTCTGTCTCGCTCTCATTATCTTCTCGTCTGCAGTACATTCAGTTGTAGTCTCAAACTCCATATTTATGTTTACTGAAGACAGTATGATAACAAGATCTCTTACGCGTTTGGGTTTCCTGATACTGTCCATATTTTAGTGAATGATACCAAAAGTGTGCAATATACAAAGTACACAATTAAAAACTAAAGTATTACAATGTGATTCATGCTGTTTAAGTGTGTTGTTTCTTATATAGCATGAGGTGAATGTTGTGGCTATTGTGTTGTTGCATTAATTCAGTTTACACAATTATTACACAGTTATTTGTTATATTAAATATTATGGAAAAAATAGTTAATTCTATTTCATTTATTATAATTATTTTATTTTTTTAAATATAATTTTTATATATTTATATTTAGATATTTCATTTTTATATATTTAAATATACATATACAAGTATAATGTAGAAATATTTTAATTATAAATAAATACATTTAAATTTGCATGCAATATTGCAGTGTGCTCCAGTTAAACCCTTAAGTTTTCATGTTCTGTTGTTCCATTAGTTCTTTACAGTTAAACAAGGATATTATTGTTGTTATATTAATTATAATATAAAAATTATTTATTTAATTATATTTTAAATTAATATATTTGTTTAATTTATTTTTTATTTTTATTATTAGTTATTTAAAATAAATATCAGTGTAAATATTCATATAAATAAATATTATGTAAAATTAGTTTACATTTTTTATGATTTGTTTTTACATTAGTTCTTTACAATTTTAAAAACATTTTTATTTTCATGCAATATTGCAGGGTGTTTTAATACGGTTGCATTCATTTTTACAGTTTACACAAGGATATTATTTATGCAGTTTACTGTTGTTGTTATTATTGTTGAACTGTATATTAGATAGTATTATAGAAAAATATTTTGTTTAATTATAGTTTAATTAATTAATTAATAAAACATTTTTAATTGACTTTAAATTATTACTTTTAAACTGTATTATTTTAACAGGTTTTCATGCAATATTGTATTTATATTGTTATATTAAGCGTTATGTAAAAATTATTTGTTTAATCATATTTTTTAATGAATATAAAAGTTTTTTTAAAGGAATATATTTTTGCCCAATATTGCAGTTAAAGCCTTTTCATTTTCTGTTGTTGCATTAATTATTTACAGTTTATGCAAAGATATTATTGTTTTATTGTTTATTAGAATATAATTATAAAATAATTATATTTAATTATGGTTTATTAAATTAATTTACTTAAATTATTATTTTTATTTTTATTTTATTTTCAGTTAAATCCTCAAGTTGCATTGGCACAGAAAAGCAGAAAAAATATTGTTATAGCATGTCATTGCTATTATGTTACTGTATTAATTATTTTCAGTTTTCGTGGATATTGCACAGATTTGTTAAATATTAAAATGATTATGCAATTTATTATTATAATATTATTTAAAAAATAAAATATCTAAATAAAAAAATTATATTTAAGTAGTTTTAATTACATATTTTTAAACAATTTAATTAATTTTTAATTATTGTTTCAAATGCATAGTTTTTCACATTTAAATATGCGAAACCAGTGCACTGATAGAATACCATGCGATGCTTGCGCTGGAGTATTTTAGGGGTTGGGTTTATTTTAACGGTTAATAGTGATGTTTTCCTTAATTAGCAAATTAATCCAGCATTAATGGCATTATCACTGGTTCGATCTTAAATGGGTGTTAAAGGGGTGCTATTATGCTTTTTCACTTTTTCAACTT